CCGTTCTAAAAAAAAAAAAAAAAAAAAAAAAAAAAAAAAAAAAAAAAGGAAATTTAGCATAGGGGAAACAAAAGCCTACAGGGAAGTACAGGAGATCTGTTTATGGACAATATATTCCCCACCAAGGCCCAAAGAAAACTAAAGTAGCAACCAAAACTTAAATTTGAGGCAAAGTAAAACATTACTGAAATTAAATTAGGCAGCTGTTCATGAATAGAGAAGCAAATGTGTGCATTACTTAACAAACACGCTTGATACAGGTTGCTCTCCTGAAGAAAACTTTCATCGTAAACACCAAATTTAAAATTAACTCTAAAGCTCTCACAGGAACCTCCCATCTGCACTAATGGTCCAGGGGAGGCTGAGGGTACTCAGGTCCCAGCTTGTCCTTCTGCCACTAGGATCCTGATCCTACTCTCTCTTGCCCACACTGAACCTGATGACTACAGGTCTGCATGAGGAGGCAGAAATTTGAGCCCAGCAAACATCCTCATGCCAACTATAAAAGAATGAGAGGACAGAGAGATTATCTTATGTTCAGGGGTATGCTGTGAGAAGTTGGCATTTCTGCACTTGAAGACTGGAAATACAGCAGGAAATGGGAAAGAAGCAGAGAATAAGGTAGCAAGAAAACCTGGGCCTACAGCTGCAAGCTAGTGCCATGGTATATGGCCTCCAGACATGGACCAGGCCACTGCCAAGCAACTCTAGTAAAGTTTGAGGAAGGCAGGCTTCAAACACAAAATGATCAGTATCGGAGGGTCTGGGTGTTACTGCTCTGTCCGTCCCTCCTGACCACCATTTGCCATGCACAAGGCAATTCACGATTACCCCTGCATCAGGCTGGGGACGCAGTTCAGTGGAAAAGTATATGCTTAGCATGCTTGAGGCCTTACGCTTGATCCCAGCACCACAAAAATATAAAGACCTTTCAAAAGAATTGATACATCAGGGAAATCCTGGCCTGGTCCTGCTAGTGCAATAATAAAAGTGAGCAAGAGTATCCAGGCCTGGGGAAGCAAGTGGAACTGAAACAGGACATCTGCAGACATGCTATGGGACAACATCGGGCCCCAGACACACAGAGCAGGTGACACTGAGCTTGCCATCGAGTCACTGTGGGCAGACAAAAGCAACAGGCACAAAGTTCAGGTGCAGGAAAGGCATGATGATGGCTACAGAGAAGCCCTGAACACAGAAAGCATGGTGGCCTGGAGACTATCTGCCACCAGGGCAGGAAAGATCGCATGGGCAACAATATTCCTTAGACACACATAACACAAAACAGAAAGCAGCAGGTGCACAGTCACACCATGTCCCTCCACTTCACTGGGCAGAGTGTGAAAGCCATATTACTAATAAAATTATTTGTTACCACCCCAAGGACCCAGGATATGTCAATGCCCACACAAACAAGACACCTCAAACACAAGGATGCTGGCCAGAGGTGGCTCCTCCCCGCTACAATGACTGCAGCTCTGAGGTGACAGAGCCCCCCGGGTTCTTACTTTGATAACTTTGTTGAGGCATTCGTCAGCCACCATCCTGACATCCGACTCCGCATCATCACTGCACAACAGGAAAAGTTCCATGGCAATGCCCAGGAGTTTCTGAAATTCTGGAGAATTTCTAAGCAAAGAAAGAAGAAAAATGTCACAACCAACAGGAGCCTAAGGAGACACAACCAGAAACTATAATGAGCTGTCAGTATTCTGGATGAGATTCTGTAAGAGGAAAGGGACATATATAAAGTTAAGGAACTCTAACCAGGGCTGGTGGCACACTGTAATCCCAGCACTTGGGAGGCTGAGGTGGGAGGATCACTGCAAGTTCGAGACCAGCCTGGGCTACATAGTTCAAGCCCATCCTGAACTATATAGAAAGACCACAGGTTTTTCCCTGAGACAAAACTTAAGGAAACCTGAATAAAGCTGGATTTTAGTGGGCTGGGGATATGGCTCAGTGGTTCTGCTGCCTGCCTCGTAAGCACAAGGTCCTGAGTTTGATCCCCAGTACCAAAAAAATAAATAAATAAAATAAACAAATAAGCAAAAAAAGCTGTATTTTAGTTAACAGTTAATATTAATTCATTAATTGTGAAAAATGGGCCATACTAGTATAAAGATGCTAATTAGTATGAGTAACTGGGTGTGGGGTATAGGCCAACATTTTATAGTTTCAGAAGTTTTCTATAAATCTGAAACTATCCTAAATAAGGAAGAAAAAAGAAAAGATTATATTTGTGTTCCAGAGCTGATATGTGGTATTTCCATTTTGAGTCTAGAAATGTTTAAATTTCTCTCCTGATTTCTCCATTGATCCAGTCACTGATCATTCAAAAGTATATTAATCATTCTCTCTGTTTGTCTAGTTTCTGTGGTTTCTTTTGCTGTTGATTTCCAGCTTCAATTCACTGTGATCTGATAGGATGCATGAGATTATTTCAACTTCTTTGTATTTATTAAGGCTGGCTTTATAGCCTAAAGTGAAGTTTGTAAACAAACTGACTCGATCTGATGAGACCAAGGGCTGCTCTGGGTCCCAAGGCTTCCTGTTACCATGCTCCTCTGTACAAGGACACGTATAATCAACCCTCAGCATTACTCTATAAAAACAGATAAGGTAAACTAATGCTAAAACTTTTTCCCCTGAGGTATGTGGTATTGAGCCCAGGGCCTCATGAATGCTAGAAAATATATCACCAAGCTATATTCGCAGCTGTGAAAACTACTAACAGCTACTGGCAAACAGATCACAAATCAACCTTAAGATTATCTCAATATACTTTACTAAAGTGTGAATCTGAGCCAACATTCCATAAATTCCACAGAGGAATTTTTTTTTTTTTTGAGACACAGTGAAACCTTGTCTCAAAAAAAAAGAAAAGAAAGAAAAAAAATGAAAAGCAAAGGTAAATAAATATTTTAAAACACAAGTGAATCACAAGCGTCTGCCAGTACTGATATCAAGTTAGTTTTCTTTTTTTTGAGACAAGCTCATTCAGGTTGGTCTTGAACTTACTGCCACCTAGGCGGACTTGAAACTCAGCATTCCTCCTGCTTCAGCCTCCCAAATGCTAGGATCACTAGAGTGTGCCACCACACTCAGATTATGAAGTGCTCTTTCTAGGATTCCAGCAGAATAACAAGAAGTATAAGCCCCAAAATTATAGGTATAGGGCCAGGGATTTAGCTCAGTGGTTCTGCCACCTGCCTCACAAGCACAAGAACCCAAGTTTGATCTCTGGTACCAAAATAATTTAAAAATTACAGATACAGATTGTCTCTTATTCTGCCATTGGAAATAGGCCTAAAAATAATGACCAACCATAGCTACTAGGAACACTGGTCAGAAAGACAAAACAGCAATGAAAATGAGACTGGATAAAACATGGTGCAAAAAGGTGCTGCTGGTTCACCTAGTAATAAAGCTCAGAAAGGGAGGCCACCCTCTCTCACCTGCCTGCAACCCCACCAACCTCAACACAGGAGTACCCAACAGCAGTGCCAAAAGCACCCTCTGGTAGGAACACACAAATCAATGACGATCAACTGGACAGTCTCAGGCTGTTCACATTACTGCAACAAATGTGAAAATAGCAAATCCAAGATGATTTTTAGAATGGGTACCACAGTATCGGTCTCATTGAGTTGAATGTGCCCCATCTATTGGAATCCATGACATCATCTCTGTACTGCTGAGAAAGGCAAAAGCTGATAATCAAACTATGACATGCCATTGGTTTTAAGTGATTATCAAGAGTGCTAAACATAAGCATGTTGTTCAATGATCACAATGGCTACAATTATAAAATATAGGATTACAAAATAGAAACATTACTTATGATTGTATATACATAGCCAGAAACATGAGGAAAGGATCTCTATTTTAAACAGATTTCTTAAAGACAACTGAGGGCACAAGAACCCATTCAGATTGAAAACACACAGTTTTTATTTCCTGTAGAAATTCAAAGTTTGATTACCTGAGAGACTGTGCCACTATGTTTTCACATATTGTCAGACAATGATTCACACGATCTTTCTTGGTGGCTGAGAGTTCCTTCTTTCTACAAATAAAAATAAAAGAAGGAAAAAAGTGAACATGTGTTGAGCTATCCACTTCATTATTTCTATACTTCATTCATTCATCCATTCAATATCTCCTGACCACTACAAATGGATGAGCTTGGGGGAGCAGGGTCAGGACAGGGAGGCAAAGAAGAGCTCCTCCAGGATCTTCCTAGCTACACCCATCCACAGAAAAATCAGGCCTTGGCACAAAAGCGCTCATCCAACAATGACTGTGCAACAACGACTCATCCAAGATCACATAACAGGAAGGAACAGGACCAACAGGGGTCTGGCTTTAAATCTAATGTGTATCTTACCAATTCGAGTTCCATGCACATTTTTTCCCCAAGTTAGTATTACTAAAACTGGATGCACCTCACAACCACTGGCACGTCACAGTTTAATTATCAGCTTTTACATTTCCCAGCAGTACACAGATGATGGCATGGATTACCTTGGATGGGACACATTCAACTCAATGAGACCAATAATATGGTACACATTCTAAATACCAAGCTGCTTCTATTTCACAAAATCACACTGTCAACTTGCTCAGTCAACACATCACACAGTCCTCAGTAAGGCACAAGCAGAAGCTAACCTTTTCTATATCCCGAAACAGCCAGAAACAAGCCTCCTACTGAGACTTCTCAGGGCAAAAGGACATAAACAGCCTGGTAAAGAAATCAGATTAAAGCACTTCTTTCCCACCTAAACCCATGGCCTCAGAAGTCTTCAAAATCAAGTAAAGGACTGAAATATGCACAGTATAATGTGATTCAAATCAGGGTACTACTAGAAACAATGAAACCAGAAGATCACTAAATTCAATCCCCAGGAAAGAAAGAAAAAAAGGAGGGGGAGAGAAAACCCAGAAAAAAAGTAGCTATTTTATTGGCAGCCAAGGGAGATTTCAAACCAAAACTAATTAAGAAGGACTAACAAGGTCACTACATCCTTGTAAAGGGAACAATCCAAGAAGAAGAGATGACAATCATAAATATATATGCACCAAATAGTAGCACTCCCAGCTATACAAAACTGAGTTGTTGCCAGGTATGATGGCACATGCCTATAATCCCAGCACTGGGGAGATTGAGGCAAGAGGACTACCAGAAGTTAGAGGCCAACCTGGGCTACACAGTAAGTTCAAGATCATCCTGAACTACACTGTGAGACTCTGTCTCAAAAAAAATCAACAAATTAATTTTAAAACAAAACAAAAATAATCCCAGCACTTGGAGGCTGAGGCAGGAGGATTGCTGTGAGTTCGAGACCAGCCTGGGCTACATAGTGAGTTCCAGGTCAGTCTCAACTATAGTGAGACCCTGTATCAAAACAAACCCAATTAATTAATTTAAAAAACTGAGTTTCTAAAAGTAGAAGACAAAAAAGCAGAAGATGCAAAGCTTCACCAAAGAAAATAATGTGGACAGGAATGGAGGTGCAATCTGTTATCCCAGTAGTCAGGAAGCTGAGGCAGGAGTCTCACAAGTTTGACATTAACCTAAACTAAAAAACACAGTTCAAAGACTGCCTGGATTACATCAAAGGAGAGAGGAAGGGAGGGAAAGAAGGAATGAGGGGGTAAAGGAAGAAGAGAAAGAGAAAAGGCAGGACTGAAGCCATTCCAAATGTCTTTGAACTCAAACGCTGCAGACTGGGGGAATCCCTCCCACTGTGAGACAAGTGGTCCCTGTTTGTTTCTTTGTACTGGGGATTGAACCCACAGTCTTCACACTGAGTCCATCTCCATTCCTTTTTGGACAAGGGCTAAGTCACTAAATTGCCCAGGCTGAGCTCAAATTTGTGATCCTCATGCCTCAGCTTACTACAGTGCTAGAATTACAGGCACACACCATAATGCTCAGCTCTCTTGGTCTTACTTACTACCAACACTTTGCTATTAAAAAAAAAATGGAGACCACGCAGCATCACACATATAACGCCAGCTACTGAGAAGGCTGAAGCAGGATTGAAAGTTTCGGACCTGCCTGGAGAATTTAATAAAAACCTGTCTCAAAATAAAATCAGAAAGAACTGCAGGTATAGTTCAGAGGTACAGCATCACCCTGAGTTCAATTCCAAGTATCACAAAGAGAGAGAGGAAGAGCAGACCTTCTAACATAATCAGCTAAAAACACAGCACATTTTTCAAGTTTCTCTTCTTACTTTATGAGAGGGGGGTCGCGTGCCCTTTCGGGTGTCCCTTCCCAATTAGGCCACTCATGCACCGAGAGGTCCGGCAGATCTTTACTGTAGGGAGACGAGCAGGAGAGAGAGAGAGAGAGACAGAGGAGAGAGAGAGAGAGAGAGATGAGAGAGAGAGAGAGAGAGAGAGAGAGAGAGAGAGAGAGAGAGAGAGAGAGGAGGAAGAAGAAACAGAAGGAGAGAAGAATAAAGAAAGGAAGGTCCTTTTATCAGTTTTAGGGTGGGCTATTGCTTATTTATGAGGAGTGAGCTACTTTTAACCTATCCCAGGCCAGATTGCTTTTATGGGCCCAGTCCTGCAGACACAGGTTTCAACTTTCCTGGACCACTGTGGCCTTGGAGGGGAGGGAAACCAGAGATAAGGGCACGAGGTCATTTTAGGAGCCAAGATGTACCAGGAGAATGCAGTCTGTGAGGCGGCGTCACAGCGTACTTTAACATGATCGATTCCCTAACACTTTATCCTGAATCATTTTCCTGAAATCCAAACCCATGTGAGAGGAAAAAATAAAAATAACAAATAAATAAACATATATACACACATGCATAATATATGTGGTACCTTGGTTAAAGAACTTAATTTGTTTTTTAATTGGGGGGAAAATGGCTGCATTTGTGTTTGTGTGGGGAAGAAGATGTGAGTGGTTGTGGATGTGACCTGATGTGGAGTTTGTGACGGGAAGGAAATTTTTGCCAAATGCTTTTGTTTGCAAACCAAATCGTTTGCAAATAGAAGTATTTCTAAACCAAGATATTTCTGTACTTAAATTTGAATCTTTCTCACACTCAAGTCATATAATCATAAAATTCTGTAGGCTGATAATCTCCAATGGTTGTGAGTCTTAAGATTCGAAGAATAATTATTAAATACAGTAGCTGTTTTGTGTGAGAAGCATAGAAGCACACCACCTACTTGCTACCAAAGCACTTATTTTGGTCCATTTTTCTTAAATATACCACATGGATAAACATGTATATAATCTGATACATGATACATTATAACAACTCACAATTTTTATTAAACTTTCAAAATACCAGTTTAAAGCTGGGCATGGTCCATACCTGTACCCCAACACTTGGGAAGCTGAGACAGGAGGATCACTGAAAGTTGGAGGCCAGCCTGGGGAACATAGTGAGCCCAAGGACATGCTGGACTGCATAGGAAGACCCTGTCTCAAAACAAACTTAAAGTTTAAGAAAACCACAAGTATTTCATTCCCTCCTGGGATTTAGACTGATGAACTACTAAGTCACACTGACTTGTTCCACATGAAAAGTACGTATGAAATTGAAGTGAGGGCTGGGGATTTAGCTCAGTGGTTCCGCTGCCTGCCTCGCAAGCACAAGGTCCCAAGTTTGATCCCTGGTACAGATAGGAAGGAAGGAAGGGAGGGAGGGAGGGAAGAAGGGAGGAAGGGAGGGAATTGAAGTGAAAAAAGGAACCATCTGGCTCTGAGCAGGAACTGGATGGACACAGTTAAGAAGAGTTATGCCTCTTCAATCACTTGTGGTCTTTATAACTTCACCCTGGAAATGAAAACAAGCCAGCCTCCTAACTGCAAGGCACGCCACTGGTTAAATTATCAAAGAACATATAACATATATAACAATTTAATGCTCTCATCAAAATTCACAGTGTTGTGCCAGGGGCAGTGGTAGATGACTGTGATCTCAGCCACTCAGGAGACTGAGGAAGCGGATCACAAGTTCAAGCCCAGCCTGGGAAACGTAGGAGGACTCTGTCTCAAAATTTTAAAAAATTAAAAATATTTTTAAAAATAGCACCCATCTAGCAAGTGCAAGGCTTTGAATTTAATTCCTAGTACCAAAACAAAATAATATAAAATACAAACACCTAGGAATGTAGCTTAGGGGTAGAGCCTTTGCCTAGTATGTGCGAGGCCCTGGTTTCAATCCCCAATACTGCAAACCATAAAGAATAAATTCACAATCTTTTAAGCAGCCACCTCCTCTGTCTTCTGAATGTGACACCATCTTTCACAGAGTAGAGACAAAAGCCAACTATGGAATACATTGAAAAATCTTCCATACTGTATTAAAATTTCTTGAAAAGAGAAGACAGATTGAAGCGTGCTAATTATGTACAATGAGAGCATCTTAGTAAAAAAGAGGTCCTTCTCCTTATGAAAAATAATACCAAGAAGTTCACTTAAAGTGAGCTCACTTAAAAACAGGGACTGCCTTCAGCAGGCAGCAGAGGACAAACACGGTGCTCACATTTACACGACTCGTTTGTTGCCATGTTCCCATCAGCTTGAACTACCAGTAGGTATAGCAGGCAGCTTGCACCACGTGATGGCGCTGTCTTGTGCCACCCACTGGAGCAGTCACACAGGAACCACCAGAGGTTCAGAGCCGCCCAGCAGCGAGTCATACAGGTCACAGCCCCATGGTGACCTCGACCATGTTCGGAGGAAGGAATACACCACAAAACACTGAGGATGCTGGAGAAGGGGAATCCACCTAGAAGAGATAAATAAGCCTACCTCACTTCGACACAGAAACCACTTCCAGGTAGACAGCAGACCTCAACACGGATGGTGGACTGACAAAGCCTTTACACAGTATCTCATGACCTCAGGCTGATGAAAAATTAATCAAACAAAATATAAACAAAAGAGAAGAAAAAATATACATACACAAAGCATTAACCATAACAGAAAAAAGATCAATACTAGAAGCTCTTTCTAAAAAACCCCATTTTGTGAGACAAGCCAGAGTACAAAGAGATATGTTCATAGCAGCACTAATAA